GGGAAGAAGACGAGCGTGATCAGCGAGATCCCATAGACGTCCGAGGACGCCGGATAGACCTGGAAGATCCGCTCACGTGGCGATGGGTAGTCGCGAAACGCAGGCTGTTGTTGGCGCAGCGACGCGTGTCAAAGCAAAGGGCACTCGCGTTCGCAGGCTACCCTGATAATTCACTTGACAATCTTGTTTGCGGTCGTGCGTAGTCAGCGTCGCAACATAATAGGAGCAGCCATGCTCGCGCTCGCGCGCACACGCGCGGCTTGCCTCCCTTTTCCTAATTGAAACCTAAATGCATCGTCGTGTTATCGGTAATTAAGTTACGCCTACCGTTACGGTTAAATTTGCGTGCTCTCTACGAGGAGGCGTCCTGTTTGCCTACCTGCCCTCCAACGCACCGTGTCCCGACATTTCATTAAGAATAACGTTCCTCCCCTGCGTCGATTCTTCCACGGCGAACCGACACGGTCCCGATTCACTGCCTCCGGATCTTCTCTCCGAATCCAGTCTTCCTCCCAACCGATCCGGCCAGTAATCCGCTTGTAGGCGTACGTATTTACCGGTCTCGAAGCCAGCGTTGTTGACTTTAGCGAAGGAAGGTGATGATTCTATTATTAGTCGAATACGCACAGCGATTAACATTCGTTTTGTACGGCGAAGGATCGAGCGTTCCCCGAGACGCGAGTCGCGGCCACCCGTGTAACATTTCTCTCGCGTTGTAACCATCCCGCGAGCGTGCGTCGTAAATTATCCCGTTGGACCTTGTCCAATCGTTGCCGCTAAATAATTTACGGATTACCTCGACGGCACGCGATCCTTCCTCCTCGCGCGAGCTCTTCGTCAGCCGCGGCTCGACATCCTCTAGGAGGCCTTCGCGACGCGACGCGACGCGCCGCGTGCTCGAGGTCGCGCGACGCGACGCGGAGGTGTCCGCGAGCAAAGCAAACCGTGGGAGAAACGCTCCCTGTTTACCGCGTAATTCAACAGATATTGGGTAATAGGCGTGTGAACTAAGTCGCGGCGACACATGGCGACCAGGGCCTCCGACGAATTTCTTCCCTCTTCCACGGCGGATCTCTCGAGGCGCCCTGGTCGCTCGGGAAACGTTGCTCTCCGCCGACGAATTACGGGTCAGTTTGTTCTCCTTCGTGGCCGTGCAACCGATGAAATTGTTATTTTTAGCGTCCCGGTGCCGTCCTTCTCTCTCCGTGGTTAGAGATCGCGGCCGCGAGACGTCGACTCGCGATTATCGACGACTCCGTATTGCTCCGTGCATTGCCGCCATTTTGCGGGCTAATTACGCCGCCGAGGAGTCAATCGCGGAATCATCAGGTCCGATCAAGTCAAAGGGTATATATCCCGGCGATTCGCTCGTATCGATGAACAGCGGAGACCGGAATTCGCCAATTCGCGAGCGCGGCCGCCGCGACTAGCAGCCGGAGAATCGTTGCTAATTGCGACGATCGAATGAGTCGATTTAACCCGTGGTTCATACCGGTTCATACTGGTCGGCAACTTATCAATTTCCCACCGCGGAGGATCGCTAACTCGATTCTTTCATTAGGATCGTCGTTGCGCGTCGCGCGAAAAGCATCGGGATCGTTTGCTCGCGCGCGAGATAACGCGCGAGATCGACCACGCCGATTCCAGATGAGTCACGTGCAGTCGTTGGTTCGATTATTTCTAGAATTCGAGATCACGCGGGAGG